TGGGCATTATTTTCTGCTGGAGAGAGAGAGAGAAGGACCAGGGGAGACATGATAGCTGTGTTCCAATATTTGAGGGGCTGCCACAGAGAGGAGGGGGGTCAAGCTATTTTCCAAAGCCCCCAAAGGCCAAACAAGGAACAATGGATGGAAACTAACCAAGGAGAGATTCAACCTGGAAATGAAGAGGAATTTCCTGACAGTGAGAACCATCAACCCATGGAATAGAAGTTGCCTTTGGAAGTTGTGGGAGCTTCATCTCTGGAGGCTTTCAAGAGACTGGACTGCCCTCTGTCAGAAATGGTGTAGGGTCTCCTGCTTTGAGCGGGGTGGGGGTGTTGGACTAGATGACCTATAAGGTCCCTTCCAACTCAATCTAATCTAGTGACCATTTGAAATTTTAAAAAGGGCCTTAAGATCATTTTTTACCCTTATGATCATTGCAGCATCCCCAGGGTCATACGTTTTACGTTCTGATGCTGACAGCGGGTTCGTACTTAAGATGGCCGTCAACGTGATCCCCTTTTGTGACCTTCGGACAAAGCTAACCGGGGTGGGGTGGGGGAGGGAGCTGTATTCGCTTAACAACCATGTGACTAATTCAACAAATGGAGCAAAGAAACTCGTTAAATTGTGGCAAAACCCACTTCGCAAGTTTCTCATTTAGCATCCTAAATTTTGGGCTCGATTCTGGTTGTAAGTTGAGACTACCTGTACAAGGCTTAACTTGCATTATGGAATATCCCCTAATAATAATAACAAGCCTTTTCCAATTTCCGCAGACGGAGCAGCAGAACGAGAGGTTCACCCTGAAGATGGAAGAACTCCGAGAGCACACGGCGTAAGTAGCTCATCTGCGCACCTGCTTAGCGACCGTTTGCTGCATGGGATCTACCGCTGTGTCAGAAATACGGAAAGGGAGCTCGATACAGGGCTGCCCTTGTTTGGCAACCATTCAAAGCTATGGCGGCGTTGGAAAAAAAAGGACTTAATGATTGGCCCTCCCTTTGCAACGGAGTGTCGCAGCGTCCCTCAGGGTCACCTGATCAAAATTTCAGATCCTTGGCAACCAGCGTGTATTTATGGCGGTTGCCACATACTGAGGTCACCTGATCTCCGCTTGCGACCTTTCTCCCAAGCGCAGTCCGTGCGGGAAGCTGGATTCACTTAATGACCGCATAATTCATCAAGCAACCGCTTAAGCGATTTGCTTAAGAACCCCGGGCAAAGATTAAAATTGGGGGGTGGCTAAGTTCAGTGCCACCACGCTTAGCAATTTGTGCTCCCAATTTGCGGTCGTAAGTCGAGGATCCCTCGGCGTTTTCGACCTGGGAAACTTTAAGGTGTGCGGATTTCTCCGTGAAAACTATTTTGATTAGTTGATCACAGTGTAAAACACGAAGGAAAAAATGGAAAAGTAAGAAGGGAGGAAGGGGAAAAGAAGGAGTACAGTGTCCTGGGAGGAAAAAAAAGGAAAAAGGCAGTAACCTCCGACTCTCTTTGGCATAGTTAAAGGTAAGAGGCTGGCTGGGGAATTCTGGGAATCGAAGTCTACCCATCTTAAAAGTGATCGAGGTGGGGAAACACTGGTTAATGACGTAGAGGTGTGAGGGCAAACCTCTGGCACATATGCCAGAGATGACATACAGAGCCCTCTTTGTGGGCACGCACGCTGTCACCAGCTGTTCTGGTTTCTGGCGCACACATGCATGCCAACCACTTAGTCTTTGCAGGCACCAGAAAATGGGCAAAAACAACAGGCCGTTTTTGGGGCCAAAAGCGGCCTGCAAATGCTCCCAAAACGGCTTGAAAACAACCCCAAAACAGGCATGTGCGTGCCAGTCAGCTGGTCTTTGGGTTCCTGGTACTCCGGCGGGCACATGGACACCCATTTGGGCGCTCGGTGCTGAAAGGTTTCACTATTAGTGGCATGGGGGGGAGCCGGAGTTACCAACTACCAGCCGACCAAATATTCCATTTTACAGGAGCAACTTCGAGTAGCTAGATTAGAACTTAAGGATAACTTTCCTGACAGGGAGAACAATTAATCAGCGGAACGATGGTCGTAGATGCTCCAACATTGGAGGTTTCTAAGACAAGAGTGGACAGCCATCTATCCAAAATGGTATTGGGTCTCCTGCCTTGAGCAGCGGGTTGGACTAGAAGACCCCTGAGGTCCCTTCCAGCCCTATAATTCTAGATTTCTATTTCATCTTGACATTTCAGGTTACAACTGGACCTGCCAAAGCTGCTGACATCCGTGGAGGACGAGGAACTCAAAGAGCAGCTGGAACTATTTGTCCAGTTACAACAAATTATCGCTCAGCTGCCGGTGAGGCTTATTCTGAAAAAAAAAAACAGGGGTCTCTTTTTAAGGGAACCCAGCGGTCGGCAGCCTCATTTTCCCAAAACAATGCCAGAGAAGGCCCAACTTTCAAAATAACTTGGTTTTGTTTTGAGAGCCCCATTTGCTAGTTTTGGATCTTAAGGGAGGAAGGTTCACTGAACTCAACCTTGGCTGTTCCATTAGGCCGAAAATCCAGTCCATCGTTCAATTCTCATCGTGGTCATAGAGGCACATAAGTCTCCAGTTACCCCCCCCCCCTTTTTTTTTTTTTGCTGTTAACATTTTTACCTAGTCTTAAAACAAAAGAAGATAAAAAAATACAAAAGAAAATAGGAAAATGATAGGGGGAGGAAGGAGAGGGGGATAAAAGTGAGGANGGCAATATGCTGACTCTGTAAACCGCTTAGAGAGGGCTGAAAGCCCTATGAAGCGGTATATAAGTCTAACTGCTATTGCTATTGCTATAGTAAGCTTGCCCCATGGTTAGAACGCAGCACTGCAGGCTACCAGCAGTTGGGCAGTTCGGATCTCGCTGGGGTCCAGGTTGACTAAGCCTTGCGTCCTTTCTTCCGAGGTCGGTAAAAGGATGACCCAGATAGTTGGGGGGCAAGAGGCTTTGTAAACCACTTAGGGCTGTAAATCACTATGAAGCGGTATATAAGTCTAAGGGCTATTGCTATTGCTCAATAGGACGGCATAGAGCCGGGGCAGGGGGCAGGCCCGAATCGCCTGAATATTACCGTTGCTGGAGGCGTGCCAAACTCTAGATGTTTCATAAGGAAAAGGGGCTACCCCAGTCCACTTCCTAGACCCCATCAGATGGCAGTATTTGGGGGAGAAGGGACTAGAAGCATGCTCAACTCTATCTGACCTGATAGGACAGGTAGATGTCCTTAGGAAAGGTGAGCCTTCAGGTAGCTAGACCTGAATTGCACCCGGGAAGAAACCGGAAGACATTGCCGCTCTTTTCCATTTCATTTTGGTATCTAAAATCTGACTTTTGAAACTTGTTGCATTTCCGGCTCCCAGAATTCCCCCAGCCCCGTCACACCGTCTGGGGAAAGAATTCTGGGAATCAAAGTCCACCGGTTGCTTAAAATTGGTCCAATTTGGAGAGGCCTGACAATATAAGTGGCGTCTTTCTGGCACATTGGGATGGGTCTCAATGCTTCCCTTTTTCCCCCTCGATAGAGGTGAACCTGTTGAAAACCTCCCAGCCCTGATGGAGAAAAATCACTCGCTCCTGGAGGAAAATGAAAAACTCAGCCGTGGCTTGAGTGAAGCGGCCGGTCAGATTGCTCAGTTGTTGGAGAGGGTGATCGTGGTAAGGCCCTACAGCTACCAGAAGTGCTGTTCGTCCCTTCCTCGGGCAGAAATTTCCTGCTAAAGGATCCGTCCACCCCTTCCCCCCCCCCCCAAAGAAGGATTCACATTCTCCTTTGGTGGAAAAAAAAAAAGTAGCAAAATTCAGGGGTTAAGCCTTCTCTTCCGAAATGCTGTGCACATAATATACTTAGACTTCAGCAAGGCATTTGACCTACTTCTTAGTAAGCTAGGGAAAAAATGAGATAGATAGCATCACCACCAGATGGATTTGCAACTGGCTGACAAACCATACTCAATGAGTAGTCGTTAATGGGTCTTAAGTCAACATGGAGGGAAGTAAGCAGTGGGGTACTACAAGGTTCCGTCTTAGGCCCAGGACTCTTCAACATCTTCGTAAACGACTTCGATGAGGGAATAGAAGGGGAACTTACCAAATTTGCAGATGATACTAAGCTGGCTGGAATATCTAACACCCTAGAAGATAAGCTCAAGATCCAGATGGATCTTGGTAGGCTTGAACCCTGGACCCTCTGACAAAATGAAATCCAATGTAGAGAAAAGTCAAGTCTTACACTTAGGCAAGAAAAACCCAAAAGGACACATAAACTGGGTGAAACCTGGCTTAATAGCAATCACTGTGAGAGCCATCTTGGAGTCTTAGTGGACAACCAGCTAAATAAGAGCCAGCCGTGTGCAGAGGCAGCCAAAAAAGCCAATGCAATCCTAAGATGCATTAACAGAGGGATGCAATCAAGATCAAGGGAGGAACTAATACCACTCTTTAAAGCTCTAGTAAGGCCACACCTAAAGTACTGCATCCAGTTTTGGTCACTAGATTAGATTGAGTTGGAAGGGACCTTATAGGTCATCTAGTCCAACA